TTCGACCCCGAAAGACTAAGGAAAGGTTGCTTCCTAATAAAATAGAATACAAATAAAATGAGAAGGAAAGGACACAGAAGCCCAGCCAAAAAAAGATAAAAGGCAGTACGGTCCTCAAAGGTCCTGTGGGGGAAGGAAGAGGGTAGTAATCAGAGCCAGGAACAACGGCGTTCCAAGCAGAATCGACGGGGAGGTCGAAGTTGTGAAGTGGTAATTTGCGGCTAGAGGTGTGCCGAAGCATACCTTGAAAAGTGCGGTCCGTGCAAACCAAAGGAAATTCAGCACGACTAAATTCCATATGTTTTAAGACTGGAAGGATAGAAATTGATAGTGAATGGAGGTGGGAAAGGTCGTTCGCAAGTGTTAGCGTGGTACAAACCTTTTGACAAGTTGAAAAGTCGTGTACCAAGCCAATTTACCTCCGCCAAGAATCGTCGACGAACAGATTTTACAACGAATGGCTTGAGTGTGAGGCGAAGGTCGGCTGAGTTGTACACGACTGATTGGTAGGGGAAGTGATGGACAATCGTTGTGTATTGATTGTTGACGGTCGAAACTGTGCACAGCAGGCTTTGCGATGTATGGATTTATGGTAGAACGGTACCACGCTTACCCGGGGGCTGGATTTGAGCTCATTAGCACCTATTTGGACGGGGAACATTCCCATAAAATTTCAGCTTCCTAGCATCTCAGAACCCCGAGTCATGAATTTACGCGGGAAAACTTTTGGCGATTAGTAGGACGACGGAAAATAACAAGGAGGCCAGCAACAACAGTGATCCCCTGTGGGGAAAATGGTACTTTTATATTGTACATGGTCGAGTGAGCGGGTAGCTTTGATTTGGCCAAAATTGAGCAGCTTGATCCACCGAGAATCACGCACAATTGATCACGAAAGCAATTGGCTCGCTTTGATGACAAAGCTTTTGCAGATTTCGTCTTCCCAAGCAATTTTTTTGGATAAAATTCGGTCAACAATCAGGCAAACATTGAGCACAGCATGGTAGCGTAACACAATAAAACTGCCAAATCTGCTATCGCCATCACGATACACTGCTAGAGCTTCGCCAAAGTGCTGTCGCTCAAATGCGCGAAAAGTGCCTTTCCTCATGTCTTTTCAAAACATTGCGGTTGGGAGGCTGTACTGACGATTCCCACTCCTAGCCGCATGCACTGTTCGGTCTGTGTGTTTACAGCTAAGGGATGAAACACAGAGAGACTGCATCGTGAAATGTCTTCTTATACATAACACCTAATTCCAATCTTCTTACTCCACTATTCAAAGCATTTCACTTCTTCAACGGTCTTGAAAACAACGTAATAAATAGCGGAGCACAATAGGCCTGGAGATCAGCCAAAGCCCGGTATGTCTTCTTTCAGGAATCTCCCAACATGACAAGGGGGCCTAAAGATTTGCCGTGTCACTGTGCGCTTCAATTCACCGCCTTCCCAGAATTTTAAAACGTAAGAGTACGTGAACCCCCCCCCCCCTCTCTGTATACCTTCCAAACGTAAAAATACGTGAAAATCTCTTTCAGAATTCAAAAATTTTATGAGAAATGGGGAGAACTGGGAGTGGCCCGTGTGGTAACACGCGCTTGTTTTGCGTGTGGTTGCACCTGGCAACAGCAAAGAGCCATTTGGCAAAAAGCCAATGAGGCGTCGTTGCTTACAAGCATGCTGATGGTGGCGGATTTGACTCTTTGGATATGTGCAAGCACTAGTTTATCACAGAAACAATTGAAGTAAGGGGGGAGGGGATAACTGTTCCTCTGCGGGGAATCGAACTTTCGAGCTTCTTTTGCACAGCGCCAACTGCCACTGCGCCATAACCGTAGCTGCACCTGGTTTTCCAGACGAATTTCCTCATGGCCATCACTGGGACGCCGAATGACATGGCGAAAAACTTTCTTGGCACAAAATCTACATTTTTGGCACAAAATAACGGGCGAAGGATGAGGGAATAGAACAACTCGCTTATATATAAACAAGGATGAAGAACGCTTATATACAAAGATTTTGGAGGGTGCGCAAAACAATAATCATCAACGAGCAGATCACCAAGTCAAACGAACATATCTCAAATTTGCTCGAAACAAAACTGCGCGCGCCATCATCATCATCGAATGTATTCGTGTTGCCCAACAAACAAACTAACACCGAAAAAATGACAGTATAGGTAACGAGCTAGGAACTCGCTTTATGAAGTTAGGTGTAAATAAAGACTTGTCAACGAGTGAGGCCGAGCAGCATACTTACAAAACCCAACCTAAACTTAGCCACACGCAACTGCACTACCTCGAGGGCCTTCCTTCCGTCCCTGTCCCTCACGCATCCCAGAACTGCTAAAGCTCATCCCAGCCGGTATTACGAAAACGCCCTAGCTTCTCTGCCAACGCTATTTCTCGTCGTCGCTTCCCAGCGACGACTACCCAGTGCTCGATGATTGGGTCGCGTGATTGACAGGTAGTGGAATGGGGAAGGGGAGGGGAGGGGAGTGGTCGTGGTTGGGGTGCTGGTTGGCGGGTACCCTGATGCAGCTCCGGCGGCATGAATTAAGGAAATGACAAAGGAGGGAGGGCAACGGTACTTGTGCGAAACGATAAATGATGACGGTGGTTGAGCCTGGTGGATGATGGGTGCCCGGATGCCACTCTAGGAGTAGCATTTGGAGGCAGGATAAAGCAGGGGAAGGAAGGATACTAGTTAGGAGTTCGAGACAAGAACTGGAAACAGTTGTAAAGAGGAAGAAACAACACAGCGCTATAAAAGGAAAGTAAATTAAAGAAAACCTGAATTTAAAAAAAATAAATGGCAACGCGCACCAGGCTAGCCGGTGCGATATGCGTTTTGTGCAATTCAGCCCATCGAACGATTGCCTGTTAATGATTTTCACTTCCTTGTACT